TACGAGATCCAAACTACAACCTCTGCCGTGACCCACGACCGAGATCCAAATGACCTGTCTCTTCAAACCGCAAGCAGCCCCTTTTGGCTTTAGATCCGCGACTATGACTCACTCACCGATACAACCGAACAACAACAACCCTGCGAGCTTTACGCGACCATGACCGTGCAGCCACCCTTCCCGATTGCAGTATCTCCTCCTCTTTGTCGCTGCAAAATTCTGATTTGGTAACCATGTTCTTTTTGCTCTTTAATGTTGATTAGTTACTGAATGATTCTGTTTCAATGCTTTTGGTATGAATTAAGAGAAAGAGGGTGATGGAACATTGTGAAAGTGAGAAAGAGGTAGAAGAATATGTTTGCTTTCCTAACGTTAATGTTTACTGCTAGTTTGTATTTTTTTACTTTTTCCTTTTAATTCCTTATGCCATGTGTCGTGTTTTGAATGGTTGGTTTAGAATAGTTGGAATGGTCAAAATTTTGGTTTGTTTGTTTTTTATTATATATTTAAAAAAAAAAAAAAAGTTTGAAATGTAAGAGAGTTTCCTACGTTTAGTTTTTTTAATTTAATTAGTTTAGATTAATATTAATCATAGTTTAATTTATTATCATTTTTAAAAATGCAATAAAAAAAAGATATATTAGAAAAATCTAAAAATATTTTTAGTTAGTTAAATTAGTTAAATTTTCTTAGTTATACCCTCTCAATTTGTTTATTTTAAATAATAATTAGTTTAGTTAATCTAGTTATTTGTAGATTTAATTAAACAACTATGTTTTAGTTAACTAGATGATCTTAATTATTTAGATTAGTTTTAGATTTAATTTAATAACTTTAGAATTTTAATTTAATTAGATATAAATTAGTAATGTTAGAACCTTTAATTAGTTTATGTATATTTTGATAACTTAAAAATTTTAATTTGTTTAGATCTATTTTATAACTTTAGAACTTCCAATTAGTTTAGATATATTTTGATAACTTTAGAATTTTAATTTAGTCTTAGAATTTTAATCTTTAGTTTAGAATTAATTTAGTTTAGTATTAATTTAGGTTTATTTTATAACTTTTTGTTTTAGCTTTAGTTTAGTAAACTTTAGAATTTTATGTGTTGTAGTATTATTTTAGTAACTTTAGGATTTTATTTCATTTAGATTTGACTTAGTAAATTTTAGAGTTTTATTTGTTTTAGTTTTGACTTAGTAAACTTTAGAATTTTATTTTGTTTAGTAACTTTAGGATTTTATTTCATTTAGATTTGACTTAGTAAATTTTAGAGTTTTATTTGTTTTAGTTTTTGACTTAGTAAACTTTAGAATTTTATTTGTTTTAGTTTTAATTTAGTAAATTTTAGAATTTTATTTGATTTTATTTAAGTTAACTTTAGAATTTTAGTTGTTAGTTTAGTTTAGGGACTTTAGAACTTTATTTGATTTAGAATTAGTTTAATAAGTTTAGAATTTTAGTTGTTTAGAATTAGTTTAATATTCTTTTAGAATTTTATTTGATTTAGATTTAGTTTAGTAACTTTGGAACTTTTTTTAGATTAGCAACTTTAGAATTAATTTAGTTTAGACCTAATTCAGTAATATTAGAGTGTTAATTTATTTTGGATTTAATTTAATAAATTTCGAATTTTAGTTAGTAACTTTAGAATTTTAATTTAGTTTTAGTTAATAACTTCAAAATTTTATTTAATTTAATTAGACACTTTATAATTTAGGTTTAGTTTACTTAGTAACCTTAGAATTTCAAATTAGTTTAGATAATTTTTTTAATTACACTTTTCTTTTATTCATGATTCTTCTTTGTCCATTCATTTAGTTTCTTACAATTATCTTGTTATCTACCTTGTTCGTTTCTCGTGGATTTTTAATTATTTATGATTTCTTACTCGAATATTAGATCTACCTGCTTATGATTAATTCCAAGGAAAATATTTTAACTTTCTTGACTTCATGTCATCAAATATCTAATACGATCAAGCGAATACCCTCATTCATTTTTTTCCTATTTACTGTTTTTTTCCCAAAATTAAGTCGATTTTCCTAAAAGATTCAAATTTCAAACTCACACCTTTTAAGTCAAAACTTTGACACTAGGTCGTCGTATCTTCAAAAATCTCGTCCATACCCATCTTTTAGCCAAACGAATCATTTTAATCAAACAAACAATTTTAAACCAAAAAACAGATATTTCAAAAGGTTCCTGCGGAGTACCGCAGATGCACTGGGTGCTAATACCTTCCCATTGTATAACCAACCCCCGAACTCTCGATCTCTTTTTAAAAACGCATTGTATTTTCATTACTTTTAAATATTAATTTACATTGCATACTTTAGGGTTTTATTTCGCTATTTTCCCTTTTCCCTTGGAAATAATAAAGCGCGGTGGCGACTCTTGCTTTTGTGAGTTAAGTTAATTAATAGCTTGATCTCCGATTTTCACCGCTACAAAATTGGCGACTCTGCTGGGGACAGATTGACCTCTTGCTGGTCCATTCCTAAGTGGGTTAAGCCTAATTTGTTTTATCTGTTTTATCATTATTTGATTGTTTGATTATATGTATATATTATGATTATTTGGGTGTTGATAATACTTACAAAGTTACACTTAGGAATAGGACGGGCGGTATAGTCATGTTAACTTTGAGGGAGTAATCCCGAAGAAGGAGGCATGAGATCCCCCACTCAGTGGAAGGCCCTTTTGAACGTAATATTTGTTTACCGAGTAATCGGAAAGACATTATTATTTTCGACCTGGGAGCCAGAGAAGCTGGGAACCGTAGAACCCTAACCCATCTTGGCCTTTTAGGTGTAGCGCGGAGATTATAACAGAATAATCCGGAAGTAGTTGTCACGCGATGCTACGCTCGGATGAGTTTCTCTTGAGAATATTGCTGATTATTGAGTAATCAAGACGTTGGTAATATCCGAAGGAGGAATGTAGACTCCGGGAACTCTTAGAACCTTGTCTTGCAGGTGTGATTAAACCGTTAGTACATACCTTGGGGATGTTCTTTACCTTTGACTCCATGCTCGTGACGTTGGACCTTTCGACTTTATTTGTGACCTTGCTTGTGGTTGTTGCATAGCCATGCATTCATGCATCCATAAAACCCTTTTCACTTGACTTTCAAGGAATTTGGAGGTCTTTCTTTGTAAACATCCCAAGTTTCGTCAAGCTCAATGGATCTTGGGTGTTGATAGGGTGAAAACCCTAATCCACCAAAATGGATGATTGATCTTGATGATAACTTGATCAACGCTTTGATCCAATTCAAAATTCATCTTCTATCTTCATACTTTGATGTTTACAACTTAATATCTTGAGTCCCTTGAAAGTCAGATAAAAACTCTCTTTTGCATATCATGCATCACTCTATATTTTTTGTTTCACTTTCAAAGGTCATTTCCAAGTCTTAATTTTTCCTTTGGTCTCACCAGTACAACACTCGCGCTAAGATCCCATTTTTATTTTTGCATTTTTTAAGATAAGTCAAGGTCACGAAATACGGTCGGTTTTAACGTCTCACCTTCGAGCTTTGACTATGCGAAGATTGTCAAGTGTTTTGAACATTTTTAGCATATGTATCACTAATTTCTAACCGCATACAAAGGTGTATGTTCATGTTTTCTTTTGTGTCATGTGCAGAGACAGGTCTGAATCAAGAGCATCAGGTGTCGCGCCTCAATTAAGGTTTTGATTCTCCCAAGCCAAAAGTACGGTTGATTATGGATTCTCGAAGACTGATTCATCAAGGCACACCGTTGCACCCTTAATTTCGCCCCTAATTTTTTTCAGTCGCACATTCATACCATATTTTGTCATTTGGTCACGATCATTAGTAAATATCTTCATTCATCACATTTTGCATCATTAGTCGCATTTAAGTTGATCAGAAAAGGTCAGTTTAAATCAAAGTTTGCATCGTCTTTCAGTTGTAAAATACCCGGCATTTTGCTTTATGCATTTTTATCGATTTACTCATTTTCTTGCATTGCTCCAAGTTGTTTATATGTCGATAATAAAAATATTTCGGTTTTATAGACAGACTGTTAAAAGCGATTCGACACTGTGCGGGAAAGTAGCGAGAAAATATTTCAAGTTTTCACCCTTTACCGATCATTTTATGAATCTGCGTTTCGTGTAGATTATGACGGTATGCTCGCTTTATTTTTTCGATACAATTTGAAGTCTCGTTTTTAACCGTAAACATCTGTTTTAGCCCGATATTTTTATTATCATTTTATTTTGATTTCAACTTTTTGAATATTTTTTATTTAATCTTTGTGACATGTAGTTTATTTTAATGTGTTCATATTAATTTTTCGGATAAATTTTCTTCCGTTTTTTTATTGTTTTTAGTCATTTTGGGTCTTTATTTTTTTATTCAGAAACGATTCAAAAAAATTATTTTAAATGGAGTTAATTTTAATATTTTTAGTCTTTTTGGTTATTTTTATCATTTAAGGGCTATTTGGTCACAAAAAATATTATTTACAATGTGCTTGATTCTTATTGGTTGTTAGCAAAAATAACGGATAGATGCAGATTTAATAATTTTGGACGGATTAGATTAAACCTGAAAACAATATCAAAGCCTTAAAATTCTTGACATCAGATTCACTCATCTTCTCTTTCAACACTTTCTGGTATCCTAAACTAAATATAGAATATTGCATTATGGCAACCACATCTCTTCATTCTCCCTCTCAGTAGAAAACCGTCAACAAAACAACACCAATTCTCTTGCGCATTCGAACCTAACTCTTTTTCCAATTTCAAAATCTTTATCTTATACTTTGGTCAAACAACCCAAAAAAAACATTTGTTTTTTTCTCATTCTAACCACCTGCACATACGACTCACAACAATTACATTTTCCAGAAAAAAAACATTCCATGTTTGCTTGTAACATGTTACTAACAATAAGGTTCTAGTCTTGCACGGAAAAATCAACTCAATGGTTTTATCCAAAAACATGAAAAAAACTTGTTATGTGTTCTTGTTTGTTGCACTTTGCTTCACAGGGGAAAAGAAGAATAAATAACTTTGTTCTCCGCAGCAACCATCCCGCAACCCGGCGATCTCCGCCGGCGAAGCCCACCAACGCACCCGACCACCCGCAGCCGGCCGCTTCTACGAGATCCAAACTACAACCTATGCCGCGACCCATGACCGAGATCCAAATGACCTGTCTCTTCAAACCGCAAGCAGCCCCTTTTGGCTTTAGATCCGCGACTATGACTCACTCACTGACACGACCGAACAACAACAACCCTGTGAGCTTTACGCGACCATGACCGTGCAGCCACCCTTCCCGATTGCAGTATCTCCTCCTCTTTGTCGCTGCAAAATTCTGATTTGGTAACCATGTTCTTTTTTCTCTTTAATGTTGATTAGTTACTGAATGATTTTGTTTCAATGCTTTTGGTATGAATTAAGAGAAAAAGGGTGATGGAACATTGTAAAAGTGAGAAAGAGATAGAAGAATATGTTTGCTTTCCTAACGTTAATGTTTACTGCTAGTTTGTATTTTTTTACTTTTTCCTTTTAATTCCTTATACCATGTGTCGTGTTTTGAATGGTTGGTTTAGAATAGTTGGAATGGTCAAAATTTTGGTTTGTTTGTTTTTTATTATATATTTAAAAAAAAATAAAATAAGTTTGAAATGTAAGAGAGTTTCCTACGTTTAATTTTTTTAATTTAATTAGTTTAGATTAATATTAATCATAGTTTAATTTATTATCATTTTTAAAAATGCAATAAAAAAAAGATATATTAGAAAAATCTAAAAATATTTTTAGTTAGTTAAATTAGTTAAATTTTCTTAGTTATACCCTCTCAATTTGTTTATTTTAAATAATAATTGGTTTAGTTAATCTAGTTATTTGTAGATTTAATTCAACAACTATGTTTTAGTTAACTAGATGATCTTAATTATTTAGATTAGTTTTAGATTTAATTTAATAACTTTAGAATTTTAATTTAATTAGATATAAATTAGTAATGTTAGAACCTTTAATTAGTTTATGTATATTTTGATAACTTAAAAATTTTAATTTGTTTAGATCTATTTTATAACTTTAGAACTTCCAATTAGTTTAGATATATTTTGATAACTTTAGAATTTTAATTTAGTCTTAGAATTTTAATCTTTAGTTTAGAATTAATTTAGTTTAGTATTAATTTAGGTTTATTTTATAACTTTTTGTTTTAGCTTTAGTTTAGTAAACTTTAGAATTTTATGTGTTGTAGTATTATTTTAGTAACTTTAGGATTTTATTTCATTTAGATTTGACTTAGTAAATTTTAGAGTTTTATTTGTTTTAGTTTTGACTTAGTAAACTTTAGAATTTTATTTTGTTTAGTAACTTTAGGATTTTATTTCATTTAAATTTGACTTAGTAAATTTTAGAGTTTTATTTGTTTTAGTTTTTGACTTAGTAAACTTTAGAATTTTATTTGTTTTAGTTTTAATTTAGTAAATTTTAGAATTTTATTTGATTTTATTTAAGTTAACTTTAGAATTTTAGTTGTTAGTTTAGTTTAGGGACTTTAGAACTTTATTTGATTTAGAATTAGTTTAATAAGTTTAGAATTTTAGTTGTTTAGAATTAGTTTAATATTCTTTTAGAATTTTATTTGATTTAGATTTAGTTTAGTAACTTTGGAACTTTTTTTAGATTAGCAACTTTAGAATTAATTTAGTTTAGACCTAATTCAGTAATATTAGAGTGTTAATTTATTTTGGATTTAATTTAATAAATTTCGAATTTTAGTTAGTAACTTTAGAATTTTAATTTAGTTTTAGTTAATAACTTCAAAATTTTATTTAATTTAATTAGACACTTTAGAATTTAGGTTTAGTTTACTTAGTAACCTTATAATTTCAAATTAGTTTAGATAATTTTTTTAATTACACTTTTCTTTTATTCATGATTCTTCTTTGTCCATTCATTTAGTTTCTTACAATTATCTTGTTATCTACCTTGTTCGTTTCTCGTGGATTTTTAATTATTTATGATTTCTTACTCGAATATTAGATCTACCTGCTTATGATTAATTCCAAGGAAAATATTTTAACTTTCTTGACTTCATGTCATCAAATATCTAATACGATCAAGCGAATACCCTCATTCATTTTTTTCCTATTTACTGTTTTTTTCCCAAAATTAAGTCGATTTTCCTAAAAGATTCAAATTTCAAACTCACACCTTTTAAGTCAAAACTTTGACACTAGGTCGTCGTATCTTCAAAAATCTCGTCCATACCCATCTTTTAGCCAAACGAATCATTTTAATCAAACAAACAATTTTAAACCAAAAAACAGATATTTCAAAAGGTTCCTGCGGAGTACCGCAGATGCACTGGGTGCTAATACCTTCCCATTGTATAACCAACCCCCGAACTCTCGATCTCTTTTTAAAAACGCATTGTATTTTCATTACTTTTAAATATTAATTTACATTGCATACTTTAGGGTTTTATTTCGCTCTTTTCCCTTTTCCCTTGGAAATAATAAAGCGCGGTGGTGACTCTTGCTTTTGTGAGTTAAGTTAATTAATAGCTTGATCTCCGATTTTCACCGCTACAAAATTGGCGACTCTGCTGGGGACAGATTGACCTCTTGCTGGTCCATCCCTAAGTGGGTTAAGCCTAATTTGTTTTATTTGTTTTATCATTATTTGATTGTTTGATTATATGTATATATTATGATTATTTGGGTGTTGATAATACTTACAAAGTTACACTTAGGAATAGGACGGGCGGTATAGTCATGTTAACTTTGAGGGAGTAATCCCGAAGAAGGAGGCATGAGATCCCCCACTCAGTGGAAGGCCCTTTTGAACGTAATATTTGTTTACCGAGTAATCGGAAAGACATTATTATTTTCGACCTGGGAGCCAGAGAAGCTGGGAACCGTAGAACCCTAACCCATCTTTGCCTTTTAGGTGTAGCGCGGAGATTATAACGGAGTAATCCAGAAGTAGTTGTCACGCGATGCTACGCTCGGATGAGTTTCTCTTGAGAATATTGCTGATTATTGAGTAATCAAGACGTTGGTAATATCCGAAGGAGGAATGTAGACTCCGGGAACTCTTAGAACCTTGTCTTGCAGGTGTGATTAAACCGTTAGTACATACCTTGGGGATGTTCTTTACCTTTGACTCCATGCTCGTGACGTTGGACCTTTCGACTTTATTTGTGACCTTGCTTGTGGTTGTTGCATAGCCATGCATTCATGCATCCATAAAACCCTTTTCACTTGACTTTCAAGGAATTTGGAGGTCTTTCTTTGTAAACATCCCAAGTTTCGTCAAGCTCAATGGATCTTGGGTGTTGATAGGGTGAAAACCCTAATCCACCAAAATGGATGATTGATCTTGATGATAACTTGATCAACGCTTTGATCCAATTCAAAATTCATCTTCTATCTTCATACTTTGATGTTTACAACTTAATATCTTGAGTCCCTTGAAAGTCAGATAAAAACTCTCTTTTGCATATCATGCATCACTCTATATTTTTTGTTTCACTTTCAAAGGTCATTTCCAAGTCTTAATTTTTCCTTTGGTCTCACCAGTACAACACTCGCGCTAAGACCCCATTTTTATTTTTGCATTTTTTAAGATAAGTCAAGGTCACGAAATACGGTCGGTTTTAACGTCTCACCTTCGAGCTTTGACTATGCGAAGATTGTCAAGTGTTTTGAACATTTTTAGCATATGTATCACTAATTTCTAACCGCATACAAAGGTGTATGTTCATGTTTTCTTTTGTGTCATGTGCAGAGACAGGTCTGAATCAAGAGCATCAGGTGTCGCGCCTCAATTAAGGTTTTGATTCTCCCAAGCCAAAAGTACGGTTGATTATGGATTCTCGAAGACTGATTCATCAAGGCACACCGTTGCACCCTTAATTTCGCCCCTAATTTTTTTCAGTCGCACATTCATACCATATTTTGTCATTTGGTCACGATCATTAGTAAATATCTTCATTCATCACATTTTGCATCATTAGTCGCATTTAAGTTGATCAGAAAAGGTTAGTTTAAATCAAAGTTTGCATCGTCTTTCAGTTGTAAAATACCCGGCATTTTGCTTCATGCATTTTTATCGATTTACTCATTTTCTTGCATTGCTCCAAGTTGTTTATATGTCGATAATAAAAATATTTCGGTTTTATAGACAGACTGTTAAAAGCGATTCGACACTGTGCGGGAAAGTAGCGAGAAAATATTTCAAGTTTTCACCCTTTACCGATCATTTTATGAATCTGCGTTTCGTGTAGATTATGACGGTATGCTCGCTTTATTTTTTCGATACAATTTGAAGTCTCGTTTTTAACCGTAAACATCTGTTTTAGCCCGATATTTTTATTATCATTTTATTTTGATTTCAACTTTTTGAATATTTTTTATTTAATCTTTGTGACATGTAGTTTATTTTAATGTGTTCATATTAATTTTTCGGATAAATTTTCTTCCGTTTTTTTATTGTTTTTAGTCATTTTGGGTCTTTATTTTTTATTCAGAAACGATTCAAAAAAATTATTTTAAATGGAGTTAATTTTAATATTTTTAGTCTTTTTGGTTATTTTTATCATTTAAGGGCTATTTGGTCACAAAAAATATTATTTACACTGTGCTTGATTCTTATTGGCTGTTAGCAAAAATAACGGATAGATGCAGATTTAATAATTTTGGACGGATTAGATTAAACCTGAAAACAATATCAAAGCCTTAAAATTCTTGACATCAGATTCACTCATCTTCTCTTTCAACACTTTCTGGTATCCTAAACTAAATATAGAATATTGCATTATGGCAACCACATCTCTTCATTCTCCCTCTCAGTAGAAAACCGTCAACAAAACAACACCAATTCTCTTGCGCATTCGAACCTAACTCTTTTTCCAATTTCAAAATCTTTATCTTATACTTTGGTCAAACAACCCAAAAAAAACATTTGTTTTTTTCTCATTCTAACCACCTGCACATACGACTCACAACAATTACATTTTCCAGAAAAAAAACATTCCATGTTTGCTTGTAACATGTTACTAACAATAAGGTTCTAGTCTTGCACGGAAAAATCAACTCAATGGTTTTATCCAAAAACATGAAAAAAACTTGTTATGTGTTCTTGTTTGTTGCACTTTGCTTCACAGGGGAAAAGAAGAATAAATAACTTTATTCTCCGCAGCAACCATCCCGCAACCCGACGATCTCCGCAGGCGAAGCCCACCAACGCACCCGACCACCCGCAGCCGGCCGCTTCTACGAGATCCAAACTACAA